GATGGCAATCCAAAATGTCTGCAAAAAGGAAGTGTGACCCCAAAATAGTATACTCCTCCATCATTCAAATGTAAGCCCATCCAGCAGAGCTTTGAACATGCACAAACTCGAGCTATTCTTGAAAATACAGTTTACCAATAAAATCCAGGAAACTAAAAAGTAAGTCAAGTCAAAAACAAGGGAATGAAGAAGCTATGAAGATTGTAGCAAGCACTGAAACCATTTCAATGAAAACTAATATTAAACAATCTTGGAAATTATTGTTATGTAGGAGGATGCTTTCTATTTTGACAGTATAAAAGTAATAATATATTGAGAAAATTGGGAGAGAAGGACAGTAGGTGTAAGAGGCTAATTTCCTCATTTTTTTAATAGCAATGAGTCAACTGATACGGTCTAAATTGAAATAGGTATATGCCAGAAACAAAAAATTACTCCATAAATTCTTCATAATTTTAAAAATATGATGAGCAGGTACTTTTATGCTATATTTTTTTGAAAGAAGTATTTACCTTAATTTTAAGAATCCCTTCAATTTCACTTTCTCTTCTACTAAGTTCAAGTACAACCAAATTGAATATTTTACTTAAATGTAACATTTATTGTGTAGTCCTATTCTAGTAAAGTCATTTCTATCTATCCAACTGGTATTTATTATATGTGTACAGCAATATCTGAAATAATATTCATCCAACTGTGCAGTAAAATTTATGATTTTTATTTTTACTCTGTTGAATTGCTTGGAATCTTTAAAGATTTTTACAAAAAAGTTAATTTTTCAAAATAAATAATATGAAAACAACATACATGTCAAAACTTGTTATATTATCTCTCCTGATAATAATTATTATTAATTAGACTTTGAATATCAATTTATAACCCATGATCTGTTTTCACATAGTTCACCATGCTATGTCCTCATTTCACAGCTGAGAATCTGAGGGTCCAAACATTTAAATAATGTTTGTTTCACTCTGAGAGTCACTCTCATCTTCAGGATCCTAATCCAGTGCTTTTGGGCAGGTTGGCCATGACCTTCACTTAGTGAGGTTAGTAATGAAGCTCTAACACAAAATATGAAGCATATTACCATAAATGAGTCTATCAACAAGAAGATCCCACTGTTAGAAACAGACTGAAGAGTTTGACTGTAATGGAAAACAAATCAACTTTTAAGATAGATGATCTAACCAGGGAATACAGCTAGGAAACTAAGCCAGGATCTCTTCCGCAGTGATACTGAATCAAGTGAACAAACAAAATCAAATTTACTGTTTGCTTGAATTCAGCCCTTGTTTTGGCATTATTCAGGGTAACACAATTCTTGGTTTGCAGAAGATCCTGGAAAATTTTCAGTTGAACCCATGCTCATTATCTAAAATGATATTCAGAAAAATACCAGTGGGGAAACAAATAGATACCTGGATAAAAATAAGCTGTTCTTACTTCCCCCAACCAACTAGGGGCAATCACATGAGGGAGAAAAGAAGATAGCTATTGCTCAAGGTAGATTTGTATAAAGACAGGAAATTGCATCTTTTAAAATGGATAAGATTTCCCGTCACATAAACATATAATAATAGCCTTCCATCATTTCGGTTAACATTTATATTACCTAAAATAAACCCTCATGGTGATGTCGTTCTATTATTGGCATGTGACAGAGTGCATGTTGAAGCAAATATAAGTTCAGAAAGCATCCTCTATCTTCATGTGATAAGAAACCTTCAGACTTTCCTAAACAGACAAACTTTGTTTTGTTGCTGTGCAACCGATATGCAATACAGTCCCTCAGACAGTAAATAGATTATGAATTTTACAATGAAAAGTCTTTCCTCCCTGTTTGAGAACAAGCCACGACTTCCTTTCATGCTGTCCTAATCCACCACAACCCTCTAAAGCTGTTTCACAAATGCGAATGTTTTGGCAAGATAAATAAATGAATGCATAACACAGCAATGACACAGATGAGGTTTGCAAACTGCACGCTAAGAAGCATCAATACCATTTGATTCATTCTTGTAAGACTGTGAACCTGGGCTCCCCGAGCCTGGCGGAGAGAAGGAAGTTTACTTCACACCCACAGTTTTCCAGATAGCAGAATATACACAAGCTTAAACAACAGAGATTCTGAGGAATTCTGTTGGCAGGCCCCCATCGGTGCTACATGTCTCAGACATGACTCTGTGTAGGCGCATTAGAGGGATTTTATTTATTTATTTAATTTAATTGCATTAGAGGGATTTTAGCCATAAGGGAAACATCTGTGGGGACAAGACGTGACAGCGTCAAGAACCTGTGACTCATGGGCCAGACATGGGCCACAACCGTGTTTAACGTGACCTGCACAGTGTTCGAGATGTTAAATATTCACCAACATTTAATTTCTCTCTATAAAAATGTAGATGTCTCGCTCTTTTCTTGAAAAATCGGAAAATAAGACTGAGCTTATATTTTCACAAAAATCAGTGGGGATCGGCTTTCAGTGGAAACACCACAAACAACCCAAACATAGAACAGTATGAGAATGGATTGATAAATTGTGGTATTTTTGACACCGGATTTACTACAGAGCAAAAAAATTGAGTATAACTGCAGATATACTCAACAACACAAATGGATTTCACATACACTGTGCAAAAGAAACCAAAAACAGAAGCACATACTGTATGGTTTTGTGTATACAAACATGAAACACTTAGTCTGATAAAAAGGAATAGTTATCAGCCAAAACTAATCAGTGGTGATGGAAGTTAGCGTGAGTTCACTTCTGGTAGAGCGGGTACTTTTGGAGATGATGGAAATGTTCTGTATCTTGATCTGGGAGATGGTGGTGGAAGCGGTGATGTGGGTGTACATGTAAAATGCATCCACCTATCCACTTAGGTTTCAACACTTGCTATATCTCACTATAAGTACTTTATACCTCAAGAAGAAAGAAAATTCAACAAAAAGAATCAATTGGCTAAGGAGAAGTTGCCCTTTGTAGGTGGGGCATGGTCCATACCCAACAGCTGGCTCATTATATGATTGGCCCGGCAAATCTGATTCGATGCTTCTTCCTTTAGACTAGATGGGTGGTTCTCAAAGTACGATGCCCAGATGAGCAGTATCAGCCTCACTCGGAAGCAGGTTAGAAATGCAGATTGCCAGCTCCCTCCCCAGACCTGCTGCATCAGAATCTGTGGGCATGAGGCTTAGCACTCTGTTTTAACTGGTTCTCTGGGTGATAGTTTGAGAAGCACCACTCTAGAGCAATATATACATTCAATAACATCCCAGAAAAGTAGAGTTGGCCTATATTAAACTATCCATGCCCTTTTACCCCTTCCCCAACATATTGCAGAAAACTCAGCAACGGAAAGGTCAATTGGCTCCCTCAGAAAACTTCTATCAAGTTCAAGTAACAAATCTTCAGAAAGAGATGTGCAACCAATGTGCCCCATTTCTGTCTTAGCCATCAGATAGCTTTAGTTTTAGGATTATTACAACTGGACTGGAGTCACACTCAAAGAAAAATGAAAACAACTTTATATCTTTCTGATGATGGAAATAATATATATCACAGAAACTTCAGTGATATTACAATTCTGAAGAAAAACTGAAAAGCTACATTCAAGTAGGTAGCATGGCTCTGGGGGTCATAAAAGTGTTCAGAAACTCACAAATTAAGAGCACTAATCCCATCTCACATAACTTGCATAAAACTTAAAACACCATGTGTGGATGTCCACTTGCTGGGAAAGTTATCAAATTTTCTTTTTCACCACCCAACCACATACTATGATGTAGTCAAAGTAGACATTTTTGCCAACAGAAAAGACATTCCTGAGTCAGTTGGGGGAATCAAAGAGGTGCTTATTATATACCTATTAATTGATTAACATTAATTGCAAGTGCATTAAACCGTTACATGATATGACAGTAATATTCCTTCTTCACATTTGGAGAAAACTTTGAAGGATAACTATTCCTTTTTATCAGATTAAGTGATTCTTTGTTATCAGGCTAAATTAATAATTTTAGAAAGAAAGCACTATGTTTGTGTACATCATAGCATTTAGGAAAGGCCTAGCATTTAAGGAAAAGGAAAGAGGGAGGGAGGGAGAGAGAGATCTGAGAATAATAAAACATTGTAAAAAAACAATAAAACATAACCTAACAATCGTATTTTTAGGTAGTGATTCTCTCAATTGTTTCATTTAATATTTCACAGTGGTTGAACAACCAGGGAGATGGTGATACGTAAATTTCAAAATTATGTTGGCTACCAAGTTCACCTCCAATCTGCCAGATGCCCAGTTTGGGGAATAAATTTAAAAGTCATGTGACCAGGGCTTCACACGCACACTACCAATATGGTTGCACAGGATTCTACACTCAGAAGGAAGCCTCAAACTTGCGTTTCATGCTCTGTGGTTGTTGGATTGAAATTCTCAATAATTTTATCTTTGAGTTTGTGTTTTATGAGTCAAAGCCAAGGGACAATGAAACATGTGCTAGGGTCGTGGAGCCTAGAATCACACAATGTCTCGTCTCCTGCCATCTGCCCACCTCCCCTGAATGAGTCCTTGGCTTGGCTCACCCATCAACCCATGATGGGCGCCGCTATCCACTCCTGGCGGGGTCCTGGGCGCAGGCACAGAAGAATCAGGGCATATCACAGGGTGGTGGTGAAGCACTCGTCTTGCTCTGTGAGTATCCTCATGCTCAAGGAAACATGACATTAAATAGCAAATAAAAGATACCACGACAGGTTAAGAGAAAAACTGTGGAAGGAAGGAAAAGCCTTTTTCCTGCTTTTTGAACAAGTGGCCCACATTTTCATTTGGCACGATCCTCACGAATTATGTAGCTGGCTCTGCATATGACCATGAGTGGAAAAAAGCAATAGAATAAAGAAGAGCTAGAAGGTATAAGAGAATTAATAAGCAACAGGGCAGTGAATAGGGTTCAGAGATTAAAATGGTTGAATTTCATATTGTTACAAATGGACCAGATATATTCTTTTCAAAAATGCTTTATTTGTTTCTGATTAAGAAGTAATATATGTATCATAAAATATGCAGATAGATGCAGACACTAAAGATGGGAACAGAAACCTACATTCAAAGAAGTAGCCTAAGTCAGGGTGTTAAAAAGTATCTAGAAAGTCACCAGTTACCACCAACTCGTCCCAATTCTATCAAGAGCTGACTCCTCAGCGTTGGGAATCTAAATCTCCTGTTTCTCTAGTCATGTCCAACCTTTTGAACCCTAGCTTACAATTTAGGAACACTGCTTTAAGGATATCTAAACACAATGCAGGTTAATAAACAGTGAGATCATTATCTTTTTACCTCATGGGTAGCTACCTTCCATTTTACCAAAGGCTATCTTTTGTTTTTCAGCACTTTAGCCTGCCAGGGGATGACGTTGTCTAAACACATTTTCAATGTTTTCTTTTTAACAGTTAATATATTTCCAGGATGCAAGTCCATTTCTTTCTAAAAGGTTCCTAGGACACCCATTGAAAAGTCAAAAGCAATGAGCTCAAAGGGATTGCTATTTTGTTGGAGAAGAACGACACCCTTTGTGTTGAAGTGGGGTATTGCAGACTGTGGTCACTCTCTGCACAGTGTCTCTTTGTCAAGCAATACATGCCGAAAAAAAAAAATAATAATACAGATGGGAAAATATTGTGCACTGTCAGATCTTGGAAACGGCCGAAGCGTTTTTCCTCACCAATGTCTTGTCGATGACTTTCACATTCTGGCACCCTGAAAAAATAATGCATACATTTAATATGAAATGAATGCAATAATAATCAGGCAGGTAATCGTTTTCCCAAGGAATGTAAAACTTGACAAATGTAAGGTTTATGATTCAAGGTAAGCTTGCCAAATCTTATGTGGCATGAGACCACTTTTATTACCTAAACAGTCCTTAACACAAAATGACTGGCACATATTTTTATTAACACAAAGAGTATATTCTTTCTGCCACATTTAATAGAGAGTCAGTGGCTGAAAGCTCTCTTTTAGGATATGTCTGTAGCAAATTAAAATGCATAGTGAGGATTCACAGAATGGCATTCTTCTCTCCCTGAGGCTGTGTCCACACAGGCTCAGCGCGGTAGCAGTAGACAATCGATCTCGGGAATTCTATCTACAAGGACCGTCTGGGTGATACGGATTACAGAAAAGGAAACCCTCATTACCTTCAGAAGTGGGTAATTGACTCAGAGGCATTCTTTGCATCCAGAGGTCCATTCTGAGTCAAATTCAAAGCAGTCACTAGTAATAATGGCGCTTATATTTTACTCATTTCTCTGACAAATACTATTTGTGTGCTGGGTGCTGCTCTAAACGCTGGAAATACTGCACTGAAGACAACAAAGATCCCTGCCTCATGCTTCTTATATCTCCAGAGGAAAAGAGAACATGTAATGCAAGTAATTTAAGAAGTAAATCATATGATGGATGATGTATAGGTAATGGGTGCCATGGGAGAAGAATGAGGTAGTCACCAGGAGAGAAAGCCGGCAGCTGAGGGGCGCCTGGATGGCTCAGTTGGTTAAGCATCTGCCTTCAGCTTGGGTCATGATCTCAGGGTCCTGGGATCGAGCCCCACGTCGGGCTCCCTGCTCAGCAGAGAGTCTGCTTCTGCCTCTCCTCCCTGCTTGTGTTCTCTCTCTCACTCTCTCTCTCAGATAAATAAATAAAATCTTAAAAAAAAAAAAAAGGAAGAAAAGAAAACTGGCAGCTGAGTGGATGGGTGGAGGATGGATTGTCATTTTTTAAATAGGGTGGTCAGGATGGCACCCTTTGAGAAAATACGATTTCAGTGAAAACTTGGAGAATGTTGGCCATGTAGAACAGTCTGGGAGGGGGAGGGGAGCAAGGTGGACAGACAGACCAGCAATTCCCAAGGGGAGAGAGGCTCTGATTAGGAAGAAACACAGAGAAACTATTGCAGTAGCGAGTGAGGTCAGGTTCTGATCACATTTTGCAGATAGAGCTCCTGAAAATGTGAATAGAGCTCCTGTCAATGTGTGAGGGAAACGAGGAGTCAAAAGTGACTCAAGATTTTTGAAACAACGATACTATCAAGAACTGAGACTGGAGGGTCGGCAGATGGAGCAGGTTCAATAGGAAAAGTTAGCAGTTTCATTTGAACACCCCAGTGGAGGTGTTGACTAGCCAGCTAGAATTTTTGCTCATGTGTTATGAGATGAGGAGGAGTAGAGGATAGCGTTCGCCCTTCAGGTACTCACACTCGCCCAAACAGCCCTGATGAGACTGTCAAAGACAGAGGCAAAGCGACTGTTCCAGGCTGTGGACTCCCTTTGTCCAGAGAGTGCTCTGTCCCAGAGGTGTAAACACGGAGCCAACTTCAAATTTCATTACAGCCCAAATGACTCCATCTTCTTCCCCCTCAAGTTTACTGCTCTCCACCAAGGAGCCCACAAGAAGAAAGGAAAGTTGGGAAGGAGAATGGCAAGTCTTACCACTCAGAGCCAAGGCCAATCGGAATTCTTCCTTTAGTATCTCGAGGACATCTTGAACACCTTTCTCTCCCTAAGCAAGTAAAAGATACAGATCTTTGGAGTAAGTCGGTCTGACTTGATTCATGCGTTTATCTCACTGTTGTTCTGGTTTATTTATTTCATTGTCTTCCAATTACCTGGGAAGCCAAGCCCCAGATGATCGGTCTCCCCACAAACACAGCCTTGGCTCCCAAGGCTAGAGCTTTCAGAACATCAGTGCCTTTCCGAACACCGCCATCCAGGAAGACTTCTACCTTCCCTTCCACAGCTTCCACGATTTCCGGCAGAGCATCAATCTGCAGGGAGGAGAGAGAGGTCAGTCATGTGAGGCTATGCATGTTGAAGTGTTACCCAGCTCAGCCCCCATGGCCACTGACCATCTGACGAGGGTTTAGCGTGAAAGAAGTTAAGCGGGTTTGGAATCAACAGTACAATTATTCCCTCCTGGAAGAAAAAGGATGCAAATGTCAGCACCTAAAACACCTACTAAATTTGGAGTTGAGTGGCTTATTTTTATTTCGAAGTTCAAGACTTTTTTTTCCATTCCTGATTTCAAATTCAAAGATCGTGATTTAAAAAAATATATAAACAAATTTTAATACACAAAATGACCTTTTATAGCTATGCTTTATAAAATGCATAGAAGTATCTTGCTCGTATAAATTATTCTGTACGTTATTTACCCATTGAAAATCAATTGTTAAAATTAATACTCAATTGATGGTGGAAGCAGTGGTGTATAAAAATGCAAGCAGGGCTAGCAATGAAAATCCTACTCTCTGATTTACCCCACCAACATCTTTTGCGTCCAACCATATATTAGAGAACTCTTAATGAAAATATCTTTCTTGCTTTAAAAGGACTATGACCACAGGCACCTTGAAGGTCCTTGTCTTGATTGACAATTGATGATGGGTTTGTATCCGCACCAGAGGATACAAGAGACTCATGGAGGTTGAACTGGTGGACTGCAATATGGTTCCTGATGCTTCACACCACTCTGAAACCACTCTTTTGTCCAAGGCACCTTTGCAGTGTTTCCTGCTAAAGGAAACAGAGTGCACTGGCCTGCTCCTTGACATTGGCCTTGGCCTTGCAACTTACTTGGGCCAATAACATGTGAGCAGAGGTGGCAGAGTGCCATTTCTGGGCATAGACCTTAAACGACCTCATGCATGTCAACTTTCTCTGGCACTTGTGCCACTTGCCATGGGAAGAGCACCCACTGGGCACTGCTTTCCCTTTAGCTGGGGCCCCAGGATAAACACTCAGGAATTCAGGAAGCAGCGCTAGCCCAGCTAAGCCCAGCTGGACTCGAAACTCAGAGCACAGCCACCTAACCAGTACCAAATCCAGATCCCAGCAGACTGCGCCCCCATTCCACCCCCACCAGTTGACACAAAGTTTCATGGGAATAAATGACCGTTGATTTAAATCACTGAGTTTGGAATCTGCTATTTTATAGCATCATGGGGCAATAGCTAATTGAGTTGGCAAATAGCCAATACAGTTAACAGCTAATAGCTGATAGAGTTGTATATTTTGTGTAAATCTTTGCACTTGAGAATGGAAACAATTCACAATATGACCTGAAGGTCAAAAGCTGTAGAAATTACCCACATTCATTCCCAAATATTTGAGTATAAAATTAAGCCCAATCCCCATTTAAAATGCATGCTGAAGAAGCGACCATGCATTTGAGTGCAGTTTTTCTAGACATAATTAGTGCTGAAACCACTCAAAGGCTTTCCAACTTCTCCCCCAAAATTGTAGAGGCTCAACTTAAAGAGAGTTTTATGTAAAAGGCTGAAGACCAAACCCAGCTACAGATTTGGAGGAAGTGAAGGCAACTTTTGGCGCACAGCCCCTAAGTGTTTGGCAGGTAATGTGATTTTCCCCTTTTCCTTTTGGCTTTTCTGCCTTGCCAAACATGCTTTGGATCCATTTACATATGTCCCTTTACCTATACATAGTCCTCCTTTTACAGTCAGGCAAGTTACATCAACATATAAATGCTACAATTTCCAAGAGATGATGCAAGCCATAATTAAGCATATATCCCCATTTGAAACCAAAACCAAAGAAAAATATTAGCTAGCTTGGGTTCAATACACATTTTCAAAGTCACACAAACCAAGTCTGTTTACGTTATTTCCAATGCCCAACCCGGCCTAAAAGGAAACTAATAAGGATACTTAAAATGTGAATTCTGGGCTATAAAATGGAACCCCAACTGGCGTTTTGGGTGTCTGTGGACAAGGATGTTCTATCCATTGCTGAGCATTTCTATCCTCCCCCTTTTTCTTTCCGTAACTGCAGTTTCACTGGGTGTATATTTCAGAGAATAATTCTGATCAGAGGAGATTAAATAAATAAATACAGTAGATAAATCCACTATTTTACAACTGTTACATTTCCTCTTTCCAGCTTGCTACACATCTGAAAGACCATTCATTTTGGTTCTTCTTTCCTTTGTGATTCTTTAGACAACTAATTGTGGGCTCACCTCCCATGGGGTTAATCTACAGGAAAATACACTGAGATCCCGATATACTGGCTAACTCATCCATCCATTCACTGACTTAGCAGCCTGCATATTCAAGGCACTGTGCAAGATGGTCTAAGGGAGCCAACAAGAATCCCACAAGGTTGTGACTCACAAGGAGACTTCTCCATTCCTGCTCAAGTCACACTCTTCCAGGATGTTTCCTGTCCCACAAAACTACTCACAGGGAGTGCCCACCTTTCTATCTTCCCATAACATCCATTGGTATACCCCTATTTGCTCATGTTTTGGGCATGGAACCCTTTATTTATTTATTTATTTTTATAATTTTTTTTAAATGTTTTATTTATTTATTCATGAAAGTCAGAGAGAGAGGGCGCCTGGGTGGCTCAGTTGGTTGGGCGACTGCCTTCGGCTCAGGTCATGATCCTGGAGTCCCGGGATCGAGTCCCGCATCGGGCTCCCTGCTCAGCAGGGAGTCTGCTTCTCCCTCTGACCCTCCTCCCTTTCATGCTCTCTGTCTCTCATTCTCTCTGTCTCAAATAAATAAATAAAATCTTAAAAAAAAAAAAAAGTCAGAGAGAGAGAGAGGCAGAGGCAGAGGGAGAAGCAGGCTCCCCACCTGGCAGGGAGCTCAATGCGGGACTTGATCCCAGAACCCTGGGATCATGACCTGAGCCGAAGGCAGACGCTTAACCATCTGAGCCACCCAGGCGCCCAGGCATGGAACCCTTTAAAGGTCTCAAACCAAAGCAGGGCACCTGGGTGGCTCAGTTGGTTAAGTGTCTGACTTTTGATTTCGACTCAGGCCCTGATCTCAGGGTCGTGAGATTGTGCCCTGTGTCTGCTTAACATTCTCTCCCTCCCTCTTCCTCTGCCCCCTCCCAACCAACTCTCTCTCTCAAAAAAAGAAAAAAAAAGTTTTCAAATCAAAGCAATTGAACATAAAGCAGATAAAGCCAGAGATGCTTTAGTTAAAAGCAAATAGAGTCAGAGTCCAGGTTACTCTCCAGAAATCATCCCTTGACTCTCTACCCCACTCCACCCACCATACTTTACCAGGCAGCCCTGGATGAGGTTTCTACTAAGCACGCTTAGAAAATCACTGGTTTCTATAGGCTTGACTGATTGTTCACAATTGCAAGAACGGCTGAAGTTACTTCTCTCCCTATCTTCATTTCTTTGCAACATGATATTTCTACTCCTCCCAGAGAGAAGAGAAATGAGGCTAGAAGAGTCTGTTTCTCCATCCTTTGCATCTAAACTACCATTGGGACCTGCTTTCACCAATAGAATGTAGAGAGAACAGAACAGAGAGAAGTTACAGTGTGCATTTTTTTTTTTTAAGATTTATTTGACACAGAGAGAGAGACAGCCAGAGAGGGAACACAAGCAGGGGGAGTGGGAGAGGGAGAAGCAGGCTTCCCGCTGAGCAGGGAGCCTGATGTGGGGCTCGATCCCAGGATCCCGGGATCATGACCTGAGCCGAAGGCAGACACCCAACGACCGAGCCACCCAGGCACCCCTGTGCATTTTCTAAGCCTCAATCTCAAGAGGTCTTGCACATTTGCACTTACCCTGTAGGAGACCTGCCACCTCATGAGAACCAGCCTACCCAACGTTCTAGATGTGCGACCACGCAGAACTGTCTGTGCTGAAGTCACCCCACACCAGCCTGTCCTATTCACCCCAGCAGCTGACCACATGCATATGAGTGAGCCCAGCCAAGACCAGAAAAACTTTCAAGCGGATCTCAGCCCAAATTGCAACTCACAAAATTGTGACATGAATAAACAGCTATTGAATTTTGGCCTGTAAATTTCAGAGTGGTTTGTTACCCAGCAAAAGCTAACTGATACATCAAGTGTTTCTCAAAGGTATAATTGCGTGGATTCCTTTCAAAAGGAAAAATAGGGGCACCTGGGTGGCTTAGTGGGTTGGGTGTCCGACTCCTGATTTTGGTGCAGGTCATGATCTCGGGGTCGTGAGATCAAGCCCCACATTGGGCTCCACACTGGGCATGGAGCTTGTTCAAGATTCTTTCCCTCTCCCTTGCCTTCTGCCTCCTGCCTACCCCCAGTTACTCTTGCTCTCTCTCTCTAAATAAAATAATAAATAAAAAATAATAAAAATAAAGGAAAAATAAAATATCTTAAGATCTCATAGAACATGCCCAAGGGCTCAATTTTGGAAACTATTGACTGAACAACTCAAATATTAATTTATGAAAATTTTTATAGTTGAACACATTCATTAAAAAGAATGTCATATTTTTAAGTTTAAGGTAGTTCGGGTCCAGTTAGCATCAAAAGAAAAATGAAAAACATTAAAAAAAATACTTCTAGGGTTCAAAGACTCTAGAGACTCTGTCCTTAGACCCCAGTTTGAGGCGTTCCAGAACTATGGATTTTGAAAATCGATTTGATGTTGTCACTTTGTTCTCTAATTACTTCAAGAGCAATCTTTTTTTTTTTCTCCAAGTAAGCTCTACACCCAAAGTGGGACTTGAATTCATAACCTCAACTCAAGAATCTCATCCTCTACCGACTGAGCCAGGCAGGCGACCCTTTTTAAGAGCAATCTTGGCCACAATATGACCTTGAGTGTAAGGACATTGACGTGAGCTTAATTTGTAACTGTTTGCTCCTCATCTCAAAACCTACGCACTGAGGGAAAAACATCTTCACTGTAAGCTGAATCTAATCTCACATTTCTCTCACCATTGAGGGCCTCAAATAGGCTCTAAAGCTTGAGGCAAAACCCAAGCAAGCATCTCCTCTCTTCACACAGCATGCAAAGGGGGTGTCATTGTTTTTTTTAAAACAGTCTCCGAGACCACAGCTCAAAAAGCCCTTTTAGATAAGTTTCCATATCCCCTCGGCCAGAGGGAAATAAACCACACCATTTAGATATTTTCCCCTTAAAATCTAGTTAGATTTGATTTCAGTAGATTTAGATTTTATTTTTAGAAAACAAACTTAATTTGGCCTGCACACTAAGTCTATGTCTTCATGCACGAGAGGTGTAAATCTGCAAAAGAGCCTCGAGCTGTGACCAACCTCTCCTCTCTGCCCAGAGGAGGTCTTCATTCTCCACCTCTCTTTACCTGCAGGCAACATTTAGTATCACCAAAGAAGACGGGTCTCTGTAAGTAAAGCTGAATTGGGAAGGACTGAAAACTCCCAGTTTTGTGATTTGATTCTTGACTCTGTGATCCTACAGTGTGCAAAGGTGAGGTTCATTCCTACCATTAGCGCTTTAGGAAAAACTGTGAGTACAAATATGGACAACATCCCGATATTCCCCTATAGTCGTTTAGTCTGTCCTAAGACCCACACAACTGGTCTATGGATTTATCTAAATCAACCTGCTGGTTCAATGAAAGAGTAGTCCACTACTAATTGACAAAACTATTTGTCCTACTGTACTTCCAGTTGTTTGAATAAATTCATTGGTCATCCCAGTTAAAGCCATCCATATAATAACTATGACTGAATGACTCTGATAACATCTGATAACCCTCTTGGGGCTAATTGCTCTCCTCCACAGTTTTAACTCAGTCCCACAGCTCTTCAAGCCAGTTTGGTTTACTTTCATATCTAGACTCTGGATTCTGATTTGTCTGGTACAGTGTGTACAGTGTCTAAAAAACCATAGATGCACATTGGAATCTCATGGATAGCTTTAAAAAATAATGGTGCCTCTGCCCCCTGCCCCCAGATATTCCGATGAATTGATCTATTGTGCATCCTGTGCATCAGGATTCGTTAAAGTTCCCCAGATGATACTATTCCTTTCCCCCACCCACCAACCCTCTCTCTGCAGCTTCTCAACTCCCACATCCACAAGAAATTTCAGTCTTCCTCTCTGCCTGACTTCTTGTACCAATGATCTCAAACTCCACCCAAGCCTCTTATAATTACAATTGTCTGTTAGCTCCTCTTCTTTGGACTCTCATGATGTAATCATTTCTTTCATACTCTAATTTACATTATACCTTTCAGAGTACCTATGAATACAAGAATAATCCCTGCCCACAAAGGACTTATTATTTTAATAGTGACTTTTATAAGCTTACAAATAAATGTATTGGATGAATTAATGATCTAATCTAGGTAGATATATGCCACTAAATTTAAAATCCAAGATCTCATCTATTCGCACACATTTTGCCTTGAATGTTCTCACACACAAAATACACAGAAGAGAGCCAGACACAGATAGTCAAAACTGTGATGGAAATGAGAACTCCAAAGGGAAATCTCAGCATTTGCTGAAACTCACAGTGGCTGGCACCCCATCAAGTTGTCGAGCCCCGTGATTCGACACCAAGATCCCATTCAAGCCATGTTTAACTGCCTCCCGGGCATCATCACCTGAAAAGAGCAAGACAGCCATTGTATGAAAAAAGGCAACTTAACAGAAGGCTTGGGTTTAGAAGGTGAAAGGTCCCAGTCAAAAGGAGCCTGACCTCACACATCTATATCTTGCTCAGAACCTTTAGCATAGAAATACACCAACGGTTAGGTCTAGAATAGTAGTGACAGTTTCCTTGGCAAAAATGTTAGCACCTCTAACAATTGAATCATGACATAAAATTTTCAATAGACAGCGAATTGACATGCAGTTAAAATTTATTTATTCTCACGTGGAAGTACTCCTGCTAAGTATTTTTATTATTATTAATAAGGTCATACCATTTAACATTTAGCAGAATTATTCCTCTGCAATTTGGATAGCATAAAAAAATACATAAGTGGCAAGCACATGAAGTATAACATAGAGGGAACAAGACTATTCCAAAAACATTCTTTAATACAAAGTTATATCTTCAGTTATTATCTTAAGTTATATTGTTCTATAGTTAAATGTATTTTGCCCATTGAAGTATATAAAAATAAACAAAAATTAAAATTATATGCTATGTCTCTAATCATGCTTCAAAATATATCAAACTTCTGAAAATATAGTTTTAAAATAGATTAGGGGTGCCTGGGTGGCTCAGTTGATTAAGCGTCTGCCTTCGGCTTGGGTCAGGATCTCAGGGTCCTGGGATTGAACCCCACATCCGGCTCCCTGCTCATCGGAGAGTCTGCTTCTCTCTCTGTGTTCTCTCTCTCTCTCATTCTCTCAAATAAATAAAATCTTAAAATAAATAAATAAATAAATAAGATTAACATTCTCTCAGATCAATTTCTCACTCATTTTTTGTATTTTCTATTTTAAACTCTTATTTTCAGCATGCTCCCAATAACAAACCATTCGCTAACAGAATCAGGAAATAACACTGGTTCTCTAATAACACTCAAAAATACTTGGTCTAATGTTGTGGTGAAAATCAGATTTAGGAGATGTAACCAGCTGGATATAGGACATTGTATATATTCATAAATTCAGCAGTGGAAATTAAGGGCATATCTAAGAATAATAAAAAAACTCATAAAAGAATCTGTAATTCTGAGTATTTTAAAATTTTATTCTAAAACACCATTTTCCCAAGCTGTGTTTTATTAAATGCTAGTTTTTTAAATATCCCCATTTAAAAAAAATGATGCTAGTATTATTTTTCTTCTAAAATTATATGTAGTTGGGGTGCCTGGGTGGCTCAGTCGGTTAAGCGTCTGCCTTCGACTCAGGTCATGATCCCAGGATCCTGGGATCGAGCCCCACATCGGGCTCCCTGCTCAGTGGGGAGTCTGCTTCTCCCTCTGCCCCTCCCCTCCACTTGTGCTCTCTCTCTGGCTCTCTC